CAGTTTCTTACCAGGAGCCGCAGGTTCGAGTCGGTTCCGGTTCCGAGGTTTCCATCTGGACCTGCTGACTGTCGGTCCAAAGATCAGCGGTTCGGTTCGGTCTGCGGGGTTCGGTCTGCGGGGTTCGGTCTGCCGGGTTCGGTCTGCGGGGTTCGGTCTGCGGGGTTCGGTCTGCCGGGTTCGGTCTGCGGGGTTCGGTCTGCAGGGTTCGGTCTGCAGGGTTCGGTCTGCCGGGTTCGGTCTGCCGGGTTCTGTTTTCTGGTCTTCTGTCACTTTTCTCCTGAACAGAAAGTGAAATCATCTGCTGTGCAGTTCACCAGATCCTCCACTGCGGGGCGCTGTTTGACTGACTGACCTGCTGCTGTTAGCGCTGCTAGGCAGGTTTATTCTCTATTTAATAGCAGAATAAAGTCATAAAATGACCAGAATAAAATCATAACATTATTAGAATTAATAAAATGACCAGAATAAAGTAATCAAACCTGTTTCAGGTAGAAAGCTTCCAGCTCAGAGTCATTTTTAAATCGTTTTAAAGTTCTGACACAGCACATCTTCACATGATGCTCCACATTCCTCATTTTAGGGAAGGCGGTGCATCTTGTAAGAGTTATAAGTCATAAAATACAACTTTATTTATTCATTTATTAAGACTTTATTCTGTTAATGTTACAACATTATTCTAATAATGATTTTATTCTCGTATTTGACAAAGGCTGCCGGTTTGATTCCAGCTTTGATAGGAACACTGTTGGTCTTTAGTTTTATTGGTCCTTTGCAAAAAAATTCATGCTCTTTTTTTATGCTTAATCTGAGCATCAGGTCACATTTAGTTTAAAGAGAACAGCAGCATTTCTTCCTACATTAATACTAATCTCAGCACTACACACACTAGATGCTGTTATTAATGTTTAAAGCATCACTGGCTCTGATCAATGTGGAATTAGGACTTTATTTCCACTTTGAAAAGGTTTACATTTAAACCAGCGACTAAGACAGAAGCTAAATACGTTCCTATTTAACCAAATATAGTCTAAATGTGTCTGTTATATGTGGATTTAGTCTGTTTTTATTTGAAGATATAGAATTGTGCAGAGATAAACCCCACTGTTATTTTTTATCCAATAACTTCTGTCTGTATCGTGCATAATAATACATTCAAGGGACGGCAGATAAATGTATTTTATTTACATTTTCACTGGAACTATAAGAGGAAATGATTTAGCATTTAAAATATTAACTTCACTATAAAAGTTATACATCTGGGCTGCAGTTACTCTGTATTTCATGTATTTTATTTAAGGCTGAAACCATTAATCATATTAATCGATTATTTAAATAATCGCCAACTAATGTAGTAATTGATTATGTCAGGGTTCCTGTGTGTGTGTGTGTGTGTGTGTGTGTGTGTGTGTGTGTGTTAGTGCGAGTTGTGCATCTCTACTATAGAGGATCTTTGTGGAGAACTTGAGTCGTCTTCACAGGTGAAAGTAATCTTTATAATCATAATGCTGGGCTTAAAAGAGCCTCATTCAGTGCTGGTTTCATGTGTTTTCTAGAAGTTTAGTTGCTTCCTGGTCTCTTGCTTCCCTCCAGTATTTTTC